CCCCAAAACCCCAAAACCCCAAAACCCCATAGGTAGAGAATTATGCCAATAGGTAATAATATAACATCTAATAAATATATTAAAAGTTATTGGTACTTTAAAAAAAATTAGCATATATTAATGTATATATTTCTTATAAAAACACTTTATAATAATCATCTAGAAACAAATATTTATCTGTTAGATGGATTATAAGCAACAATAAATTATCATAGTAAACAACTTCTTCATTATCATTTTTAGAATCTTGACAAATTAGTTCAACTTAGAGCAAGAGCGATTATAGAATAGAATAAGGTTAAATTCTTTAGATTGATATCAATATAGGATCCTGAATATTTTCTGAATTCTCCGTCTTAGAAAATAGATTATTAATAGATATACTAAAATGAATCAACAATCAGTGTTGCATCTATGGTCAATCGTAGGGAATCACTAGATTTGAATATTAATGATTCAATGATTTTAAAAAGACCTATTTAAGAAGATAATACTCCAAATAGTCAAACTTTCAGTGATAAGTGCTCAATATAAGGCAAAATTTAAGAAAGTCCAAACACTGAAGAAGATAATCATCCATTTACCTAAAATTTTTTGCATGAATCTAAAAAATAAAAATTAGTCTTCATTACAAAGTAGAACAAAACAAAAGAAATGAAGTTAGTAATGAAAAACTAATTCACTAGACATTAAAAAGATAAGAAATAAATTAAGATTTTGGAGAATTATTTCATTAAATCTTAAAAGTGGTCCAGAGATCTGATTGAAGATCTATCACTAAGACTTGATCTCACTCCCTAATAAATTTACAAATGGTATTACGATAAAACTACTTATAAAAGAAAAAAGTTTAATAACCAAATGATTTTGTTACCTCAAAAATGAAGTGAATAATAATAGAAATCAATGTCATTTTGAAAAGAATACTAAAAAACTCAATGCTTTGTTGCTTTTGATAAAACTTATAAACTTAAATAAAATAAAAAATCACCATAATCATATTACTTTTTTAATGTTTTCATCAAATTTCTATTGATATTATCTCAAGGGGTTTTGGGGTTTTGGGG